AGAGGCAGATCTGAATTGTGTTGGGAGGTGAGGAAGGCTGGTGATTACACAGCATCTCAGCTGGGATCTGAAGAGTGTGCTTACATGAAAAGCAGGAAGTAGTGGTTGTCCAGGGCTGAGGGGTGAGGGAAATGAGGAGTTGTTCAGTGGTGTAAAATTGCAGTTAGGAAGATGAAAAAATCCTAAACATCTGTTGTACAACACTGTTTACAGTAAAGAATACTGTACTGTACACTAAATTGTTAAGAAGGTAGACCTCATGTGTTTTTTACCATCATAGTTTAAAGGGACAAAAGAGGGGAGAAATTCCTTGATATTTTTCTGGAGACTGTAATGTGAGCAGAAATTGAGACAAGGATTCTTTGGAACTGATTTTTTTTTGTCTTTGCCCCTGCATTGCTCCTGTCTGGATTCACTCTTAGTTTGGTTGAGAGGATTTCTGCAATTACATTAAAATGCTTGGTTATGGGATTGAGTAGGAGTAACCATCAAAGCAATAACTCTGCAGAGCAGTCATTTAACATTTCAGAAAGGCATTAAAATGCCTGAAGATGTGAATTTAAAAATAAGTGTCTTAGAGCAGCCCTCGCTGGTAGAACCTTCTGCGATGCCAGATGGAATCATCTGCACTCTCCTGTACAGTAGCCATAGCCACATGTGGCTGTTGGGCACTTGAATTGTGACTAGCGTGATTGAGAAACTGCATTTTTAACTTTATTTAATTTTAATTCATTTAAATTTAGTCACATGTGGCTGATTACTACCATATAAAGTAACACAGGTCAAGAGACTTCAGACAAGCTAGTTGGGGTATGAATGAAGTAGAAATTCAGTCCTTTTATTTCAAATCCAAAACATTTTGGATTTGAAATAAAAGCTGAAGAAAGGAGACCAGAACTTCACCTTATGGTTTTAAAGTGAATCTTTTGGATATGATGCAATCCTATTTCTTTTGTGTTTGATCTTATCAGCTTTAAAAAGTTGATAGAAGCCGAAACCGGTTTGGCTCAGTGGATAGAGCGTCGGCCTGCGGACTCAAAGGTCCCGGGTTCGATTCCGGTCAAGGGCATGTACCTGGGTTGCGGGCACATCCCCAGTGGGAGATGTGCAGGAGGCAGCTGATCGATGTTTCTCTCTCATCGATGTTTCTGACTCTCTATCTCTCTACCTTCCTCTCTGTAAAAAAATCAATAAAATATATTTTAAAAAAAAAAAAAGTTGATAGAAAGTATGTGGAGAAAAGAAACTTTCAGTAAAATGAGTTTACAGTAGAATTTATTAGCTGCTTTGGTCATTTTTAAAATTTTGTTTTTCACCTTCATATAAATATCCAAAGCAACCAACTGACAGAATTGTAGAGTCCTCACCAGAAAAGGTGCTCCTTATACAGAAGCAGGAGCTAGACTGATCTTTCCAGTAGTGATGCCATTTCAAAAATGCAACTGAGGAGAAGGGTACTGATGGTGAAACTTAAAAATGTTAGTTTTTCCTTCTCTTCAGTGTCTAAACAACTCTTAGGTCAGGCATATTCTCTCTCCCTGGGCTATTGCAGTAACTTCCCAGCTGTTTTTGTGCCTGTGTGTATGTGTGTGGGGGGGGCATTGTTTTGTGTGTGTGTGTGTGTGTGTGTGTGTGTGTGTGTGTGTGTGTGTGTCAGACCCAGGGGCTACATCACCCCCAGAATTATATTATTGAAAACAGATCTCGTCCACAGATATGCTTAAGAAATTTTACCTCAAATCAGTTTATAATAAAAAGTTTCGCACACATTTTTGGATATTGTTTTTCACTTTTGTAGTTAATGGGTTAAGTGGACATTTACTCAGCTGAAGGAAATAAACTTGGTAAAATTTTTTTAAAAATTTTTATTTATTGATTTGAGAGAGAGATCAATTTGTTGCTCCACTGATTGAACCTGTAACCTTGGCATATCTGGATGACACTAACCAACTGAGCTACCCAGGCAGGGCGGTAAAACATTTTTTGTTAGTATATTGGCAACAAGAACTTTAACTATATTTACAGTCCAAACCCCAATAAATTCACATCTGGGAATCTTCCTAAAGAAACTAGCCTAAATACCACAAAATATGCCCCCAAAAACTCTTTGTACAGAGATATTTAGGATAGCATTATTTTTAATAGTGAAAACTGTACACAACTTTGATATTCAACAATAGGGAAATAAAGTAAGTTGTAAATGCTAAAATTAATGTCTTCCCACATCACTTTGTGTATGCATCCACTATGGAACATATCATATGCTATATGCAGTTAGTTGCATGCAGTTCTGCCGATCTAACCATTCTTTGTGTCCCTATTGTGCCTAGCACAGTGTAAATGTTTAATAGTTTGCTGAATAAATGAATGTTGACACAAATGAAATTTTGTTTCAGTTGCTTATTAATTGGTTAAAACTAAGAGATGTTATATTCTTTTGAGTGCAGTAACTTTCAGTAATCTGAAAATGAATTTCAGATGCAAACATCTCTTATTCCAGAAAATACTATCGTAAGCAAAATAACAATTTCAAACATTTAAAGGTAAGTTTAAATGTGTGTGTATCATATAGTGATTTTTTTAATAAACAAATCATCTTAGTAGTAAATCATTCTGCATCTCCAAATTCCCTTTGTACACTTTTATTTCTTCTCCCTGTATTTTTATGAATTTTATGTATTTTTATAAATGTAATTAAAAGAGTCCACTTACCTTCCTATTGGCATTTTTCTCCTCAAACCTATGATTTGTCCTCAGAATCAGTTTCTCTGACTTCATTGTTTATTTGAAATGATCAGTTGTAAGGGAAATTGCTTTTTACATACTAGTGTAAATTAGGCTATATTAAATCGAGAGTATTTAAGTTTTTACTTTCTATAACTTCCAGAGAGTAGCAAAGGGAAGAAATCTGTTATTTTCTTTGAAGTTATTTTTCTGGGTAAATCTTGATTATGGTTGATGTAGGCAAGAAATGCCAATATTTAAAATTTGAAATTATTTATTTTTACATGGAGTCCTCTAATGTACTTGACCAGTAAATTGAGATATATTTGCCATCACTTTATAAATATAACATAGATGATGCCTAGTTCTGAGTATGTAGCAGTTTAAGATTATCATTATTAAATATATTTATTTCTATAGAACCCTGAAATTTGATGATGAATTTGTGCCAAACTCATCAGGTCAGGGACCTTATCTGTTTTGTTCATCACCCTGTGATTAAAGATCTGATTAAGCTCTTTAAAAAAATCATTGAATGCCTGCCTGCCTACTTTTGCCAACTTGTATGGTGACTGCTTCCTAATAAAGTAAGGGATTAAAGCCACTATTTTGTGTTTGGTAGGCTGTTTGTAAGGAACAAAAAGACTCAGATTACTTTGTGCAGAGCTCAAGAAGGAGGGAGGAAGGGAGAGAAGAGAGCTATGATTAGGTTTTGCTTTCTCTAGTGAATCCATGGAAACTAGTGGTTTTCTCTTTAGAAGCAGGCATGATTGATGCTTACTCTGGTGCCTCTTCATTATTCTCTCTTTGCTCCTGCTTCTGAGTGCTATTTGTTCCTCTTCTCCATCAGGTTACATTGCTTTCCTACAACTCCAGTACTCTAGAGTGCCTTCTAGTGTTCTGGAATCCTACTGCTCCAGCTAATTACCCTCAGCTATTTAGGCAGAACTCTTTCACCAAGGCACCCATGGGCTGCAGGTCAGCTTCCATGTTTATTGGTCTAGTCCAGCGATTTTCAACCGCTGTTCCGCAAGAATTCTTAAAACATATAATACCTGACTATTTCATCCAGAACACTGACTTCTTTTCCTCAGATTGTCAGGAAAAAAAAATGACAATAGCCATCCAATGTGAATGAAATCAATATACCTTTCTTTTGTTGTCAGATCAGCAAAATACATTTTTTGGTGTGCTGCAGAATTTTAGTAATTAGTTTATGTGTGCCAAAAGATAAAAAAAGGTTGAAAATCGCTGCTTAGCCAGCTGTGGCCATGGGAAAGAGATATTGCCATCCTCAGATAAGAAATATCACCTGGAGCTACCTCCTCAATTTAGACGCTTCCTGAGGAGGGCTTAGTGACAGCGAAAGCTTAATTTACTCTTTTCCGGTTCCCATGCTCTGTAATTTCCCACTCAGTGTTTATAATCTTTATAAACCATAGCACAGTCCCTATTTTTATATTACGGTTTTGGAGGACTTCTTTTTCAGAACTTTAAAATATTATTTGTATTATAGAAAATTAAGTGGGCATTTCTCCAATCTCTTCTCCTGCCTAAGAAGAACTTCAAAGCCGGAAGGCCTCCCTTGACTATTTCTGCTCTTCCACATGCCTATGGAGAAGGAAGTTAGTCCCTGATTGGAATTTTTGTGGCTTACAGATAACCACACTTAAATGGGGATCTAACAGATCAACATGTCATTGGCAATCTACCAGTTGTTAATACTAAATAGAATAGCAAGTGTCACAATAAGCATTGTTGTGTTCTCCTGTTTCTTAGGTTAAATTAACTTCTACTTCTCCAAGTTTTACATTTTTCTTACTTAAACCCTCAAAACTTTATCTTTGATATAATTATTCCTATTTTATTTTTAAAAACCACGCAGGTCAAGTCATTCATTGCTTTGGGGAGTTGCATGGAATTTAATTCTTTGAATTTAAACTTTCCTTTAGCTTTCAATTTGAGGTACTGTTAGGCAGGTTTTTATTATAGAGGCTGATAGTTTTCATTCATGTCAGCTATGGACTAAAAGTCTATGGCGCTGTGGAATGTGCCTAAGGAAGTGACATTTTGGGAGCCTACTGTGCACGCAGCATTGGTTAGGAGCTGGCCCCATTATCTTATTCATACAGTGGCCCTATGGTTTTTGTTGATCTGAGACCTAATACTGATTTTACATAATTCTGTTTTAGTACTTTAGCAATAAGCATGCACCAGTGTAACTTTCTTAGAAATTCTGTCGCCACTAATACATACAACTTCTCTTTTAACAACAGGATAAAAGGATCAGAGTGTCTCAGCCCTTGACAAGAGGACCAAGTGCCTTTATTCCAGAGAAGGAAGTAAGTTTATTTGTCATAAAATACATGACAGTCTGATAAATAGTAATTATATCAAAGAATATCTCCATTTTTTAATATGGAAATAAACATGTGTTTTGCTCGTTTCTTATTTACATGTCAGAAAACTACGGAGATATTTTCTTTTCAAGTTCACTTAAAATATTGTATGTGTAATAATCTGCCTAAAATAATCGTTATTATTAGTAAGATTAGAAACAAATTTTAACATGTTTGATTTCAAATATAACTTTTCTGAGCAAAGCAGCTAACAGTCATAAAATTTAATATTAATCTGAAGGTTTTAGGTTTTAAAATGGCCACTGTCATGTTGATTATAGGTTACATAAATGTTAAGAAAGGATATTTTGAAATGAAAAAGTAAGTTTCCCAACTAAACCTGTTAAGTTTCCTTATTAAACCAGTTATTAAACAAAACATGGTATTACATCACTAGTAGTTATTCTTTTCATTTGTTTCTAAGTCTTGATTGTACAAAATGCTACAGAGTCTCTGATAAAATCTGTACCTTTGGTGAGGGTGGGGAGTCAAGGTGGGGAATGCAAGAAGGAAAGATTGTAAAATGACACAAAGGAGATTAAAATCAGGACAGGATTTGTGTCTGTTGTGTAGGTGTGCATCTCTATGAGGATCACAGCAATGTGCAGGACCTTCTAGATTCCTAGATGCCTCTCAGATACACGTAGGCTAAGAAACGTTTGGGAACCACTAATAAAGGAGTTTTTCTCTGCTTCAAGGGGTTATTAACTCATATTGAATATGGTTATATATACTGATTCACTATGTATTGCAAAGATAGCATTTATCTCAAAGCATCAACATAATCCCATATTGTTCTGAAATTAGTCAACAAATATTTATAGAGCATCTATTTTGTGCCAGGCATTGTCTTAATGGATGAGTAGAATTCAAATAAGACAGTCTAGGTCATTGCCAAAATCATCAGTTCCTTTACCTTCATTTCACTTTTTTAGTGACCTTGCAATTTAAATGAAAGATAGCAGTAATGTTTTAGGGGCTCAGTGACTATAGCTGACCTAGGAGGTGGCCATGCATTAAGAAACTGCTGTGCTAGCACCTAGTTCCCTCATATAGCATAGGTGTTACATATAAAGACTTCCTGAAAGAATCACTTTCACAGTATATATTTGAAGATAATCTGATCTGCAAAAGCTATCACTGTTTTCAGGATCTATTGCATTATATCAATCATTTGTTAATGTATGTTAGATTTCAGTTTAACAGAAGAAACTTCTGCTGGAACAAATACCTGGTATACTATCCCTAATTATATGTAGTTTATCAGGATCCTATTATTTTTAACAATCATCTTGGTCCCTATAGTTAACAAAATGGGGGAAATGGGTAAATGAACATATATTTTGGCTTTCTAATGAGCTAAAGTGAAATTGCTTTTTTACACCATTGTAATTAGCATTTCTTTGCAATTTACACTTTTCAAACATTATATTTCCTTTGGGATTAAATTTTTCTGTCAGTAGTGCCTTTTATATAACTTACTTTAAGAGGAGACTGTGGAGCCAGCCCTGTAAATTAACAGGGTTTCTTACGAGCAGTGTGGGTCTTTAAGAGATCTGTTTCCAGAGCAGGCTCTGCTAATCATGAGGTGCATGAGTTTAAATTTAATCTTGAATTTAATACAAGGAATACATTCTTCTTAAGTCTAGAACTCTAACTCTAAAATCAGTAAGTAATGAACCAGTACTAGAAATAGCATCTCATGCCTATTCATTCCCACAGAGCTGGGTCCTTCTACAAGGTGCTAATAAGCTCTTTACACCTTCCAAGCCAATTCTTGGTGTGATGCCCAACCTGTCATTGTGTATAAAATTATAATACAAAAAACCTATTTTTGAGTAAGCTCTATCGATTCCCTAGGATGGAGGATGTCCATTTTAATAACTTACCTTGATTTTATAATTAACATCATAGTCTCAAAATAGGAACGACAGTATTTTCATGTTATTAATTTTTCAATTAACACTTTCCCATAAATTATCATATTTTCCTTTGTCCCTAAAAAGGATTTCAGAAGGCCCCTTTATGATTTTGAAAAACAAAAACAAAGGATCAGACTGAAAATATTTGTCTAAAGATAATGTGATTAAATAACTTCATAGGCTATTGACATAAAATTATAGATGTATATAATCAAATGCCACTATTTTGCCTCAGCACAAATTGGTGTGACAATGGCCACGCATGTGGGCCCTGAAATATTTGCCTTATGTTCCTGGCAAAGCAGATGGAAGCTTCTTTTCTCCGATTTCATAGCTGTGTGTGCAATGTTTGATAATTTGACATTTGTTGTTTAATAAATGATGGTACCAGAGCCAAAAATGAGTGGTGCTTTCTTTTTACTTCTGTTTCCCATATGAGCAACTGTGTAATTCCAGCATCTGTTAATATCAAAAGAACATTCATTTGCTTCAATAGTGGCATAATTTATGTAAACCAAGGATGTGTTTACTTCTCAATAATTATCTTGTTTTGGGTTTCTTGGTTGTAAGGTTGCTCAAGCAAACACAGCAGATGAACGTACTAACTTTCTTGTGGAAGAATACTCTACATCCGGTCGTCTGGACAACATCACCCAGGTCATGAGTCTGCACACTCAGTACCTGGAGTCTTTCCTGCGGAGCCAGTTCTACATGCTGCGCATGGACGGCCCCCTTCCTCTACCACACAGGCACTACATCGCAATAATGGTGATGCTGCGCTCACTTCTTTCTTCTTCCCTCTAGCATTATGAGTGTGGGTGTGTAGAACGAAGTATAATTGTAAGGACTTAAGAATTCAAGAAGGCTGTGGCCTTTTGGATACCAGGTCCCTTGGGTACATTCTGAATGCTTTAAACCACTTAATGTACTGAAAATTTCTCATTTAATTTTCACTAAAATGATTTTCTATACTTACTCTCTTACGATTAAAGATGCTTGTAGGGGCCAAAGTAATATTCCACAGGTTTTGTTTTTGCTCTTGATATCTTGTTTTTATTATTAGTATAAAACCAGTTTGTGACATTTTATTTAGTCATTTTATACATGAAAATAATTACTATTTTGGCTAAGAGGAAAGTACCAGTCTGCACCAATGGAGACTCTGGAGAAGAGAAGAATTCTTAAGTGAATGATAATACTTTTAAGTATAGTACTTGGCACTAGTTAACTAGTTAATGTTTGTGGGAGAGAATTATAAATTGGGTTATTAGGCAGCAGGAATGAGAAGGGTAGAAAGAAGCAGTGCTACAGTTGAACTATTACCAGAGAAAAAGAGGAATGAATGTGATGCAAGTGCTTTATATTTGGAGATTTAGACCAGCTGGGCTGGCAGAGCTAGCAGAGATGGCCAGGACTTAGCAGATTGGTTTTACCAGGTTTACTTTGATTGTCTTGTTTATGCTCTCACTGAAGTTTTAAACCAACACAAAAGGCAGCATTCTGTGTTTTATTGAATGATGAACTTGACTAAGAATATAATTTTAGCTTAAGGTTTTGATGACAGTAAGGCTGAAAACAGACTTAGAATGGTCATAAACTAAGAAAGAAATAAGATATAGAAAACAGAAATAATAAAACAACACTGTTTTACTGAGGAGCGCTGAGGAAAGGAGCTGCAATAGTTTGCTGTGTGTGGGTTTATCTAGTTTTCAGTGTCATGGCTGATTTTGGCTGTATAGGAGGGAAAGGGTCAGTGATCTTCAGTTTCTGCTCAGTGGTGTGCACAGATAAGACTGATGTCACAGTTCTACCAAAGGCAATAAGACAGTGGTTCTCAACCTTTTGGCCCTTTAAATACAGTTCCTCATGTTGTGACCCAACCATAAAATTATTTTCGTTGCTACTTCATAACTGTAATGTTGCTACTGTTATGAATCGTAATGTAAATATCTGATATACAGGATGGTCTTAGGCAACCCCTGTGAAAGGGTCGTTCGACCGCCAAAGGGGTCGCGACCCACAGGTTGAGAACCGCTGCAATAAGAGAATTACCCAAATTAGAATGCATTCTGAATTGGTAGAATACAAGTTAATGAGATTTTATTGTTTTAAATAGACTACAGTTGATGTAATTTACCATAATGAAACAAACATGTACTTTCTTCACAAAATAAGAAAGTGGCTTTTAAGTTGACTGGCACCAACTTCTAGATGAGGAAGTAATTGGCTTTGTGTGACAATTCATGTGCTTATACAAGTGTCAGCTTCCTGTATTGATTCAAGAATCTGGCCTCATTGTGATGAAAGTTTTAGAAGGAGGAATATTCTGTAAAATAAGGATTACTGGCTATAAAAATGATTAATTCCATCTAGATTTTTGTTTAGAAATAGTAGAATAAGACTCTACCATGACTTTTTATCAACTAACTCTTTGTGTTTTAGGCTGCAGCTAGACATCAGTGTTCTTACCTAATAAACATGCATGTGGATGAATTCCTAAAGACCGGAGGTATCGCTGAGTGGTTGAATGGTTTGAAATATGTACCACAAAGACTGAAAAACCTTAATGAAATAAATAAGCTGCTAGCACACCGACCCTGGCTGATCACGAAAGAGCACATTCAGGTACTGGATGTTTCTTTAAAATAAAAAAGATATTTACTAATGATTCCAACTGAGTAATTTTCTAGTTAAGTATTTTGCTTAAGACTCAATTTTTAAAAGTTGCATATATTAGGAACTTGAAAAATAAAATATTAATATATGTAGAAAAATAAATTTAGGAAGTCAGTGGGTTTACTATAAGTATGAATGACTGCTTCTCTTTGAGTAATTAATAATTAGCTTGCACAAGTGCATTGAGTGGCTGTGAGAAAAGCAGTGGGCAGAAGAAAGAAAATACACAGGCATGATAGGATACCTGGGGTCTAGTCTCTCCTCTGCTCCTCACAAGGTTGTGACCTTCAGTAAATTAACTTCTATGGGCCTCAGTAGTTCCCCTGCTATAAAATAAGGGGCCTAGATTCCATGAGTTCTAAGCTCTTTTCCAGTTCTAACATTTAATCATTTTAAGATTTTCACGGAATGGTTTTGCAAATAAGAAGTGATTTGCCAGGTGGTGTGTGAATGTTTAAATGCCTGTGATGGCATTTAGAGTTGTGATGGACTAAGCACTTGTATTTCAAAAGTACCTTTCATCAAAGGCCAGCAGGGTGAGGTGGTTATAGAATATTCTTAACACTGTGTGGGGCACTTAATAACTAATAAATAGGAGCAATCATCTAAATTATTGTCAATACAAGCCTAAGGCATTTAAAGTCTCTGCTTCTAATGCATTGAGATGTCCTTTTAAAAAAATATTACTAGATTACATTTTTGTTAGTTATTTGCCCAGTTATACTCACTTAGTTTTTGTCAATCTGTATACGCTCAGATTTCAATTACCTGTTTGGGAATCTCTGAAGAACAATGTTGTCCTGATGCTTATGTTCTGGTTTTGCAATATGTTCGTTAGATAAAGGAGTCACTCATTATTTTTATGTCACATGTTAATTACTTTGTGTCAGAAACTGGTGGGTCTAAAAGGATGGACACTGCCCTTGGGCCTGCTTGGAGTCTAGAGGAAGAGAGACAGTGATGACAGCATTAATAGCATATGAATGTGTGAGTAAAGAGAATTGATCCCCAGGTTTCATGAAAGAGGTCACATTTGAGCTACATCTTGAAGAATAAGGGGGAGTTTTGGAATAGAAGAGGACATTCCAGACCGAGAGCAGAGTATCTACACTAATAAAAGACAAAGATGCTAATTGACTGTACCTTCACTACATCCATCAGCCAATCAGAAGAGTATGCAAATTAACCCAACAAAGATGGCCGTTAAATTTGCATACTGCAGGCGGGGCAGGACAGCGCAATCTGCCGCCGCCCGCCGCCATCCGGGCCTCCTGTGTGCGACCCGGGGTGGCGGGCGGGGCAGCGCAATCAGCCACCCGCCCCACCGCCATCCGGGCCTGCCATCTGCGACCCGGGGAGGCAGGGCAGGCACTGCGGGATCGGGCCTGCCATCTGCTACCCGTGGAGCCGGGCCTAAGCCAGCAGGTGGTTATCTCCTGAGGGGTCCCAGACTGTGAGAGGGCACAGGTCAGGCTGAGGGATACCCCCCGCCCCCCCGCCAGTGCACAAATTTTTGTGCACCAGGCCTCTAGTAGAATATTATGATATGCTGAAAAAGTACTTAGCAGCTTTAGGTTACTGAAGTGGAGGAGTGGTTATGTGCAGTGGGGACAGGGGATGGAAAGAATTGGGATCCTATTGTATGACCCAATGAATACTGTGTTAAAGAATTTGTGTTTTACCCTCAGAAAGGTATGGTACCTCACAGAGTGCACAAAACAGTCCTTCAAAATGTTAGAAAATGTGTATGTGTATTCATATGTCATTCTTTTATAATTTTTGTTTCATAATAGTATTATAGTACATGTATATAACTATAAAATTTTGTAAATATATATTAATTTGTAAATAAATGTATTATCAGAGGTAGGCTTCCAATTGTTACTGATAGAAATATATGTGCTCAAAAGAGCTTAGAAATCACTATGATAGAGAGTCAAGAATCATTAAGGTTTCGAGCTGAGTTGCAATATGAGTATATTTGTTGATGCAGAAGATAAATTATAGATGGTACAGACTAGAAGCAGGGAGGCCAGTCATAAAACAGTTGCAATAATCCACCTGAGAGATTACCTTTTTTAAATTCATAGGCAGATGAAGAGGAGGGATCAGTATACAGTTATTCTGCATAAGAATAAGCAGGACTTAGTGACTGGCAGAATGTGAGGATGAAAAAGGAAGTGGGGTAGGAGAACCATTTTAAGGTTCTACCTTCCTGACTGGGCAAAAGGCAATGGCTTGAGCAGGAGATAACACACAGGCCTGAGAACAGGAGATTGTGGCATCCATGTGGTGATATCCAGCTACTGGAGGAGCTGCAGGTCTGTAACTCAAGATAAAGGATAGAGAAGAAATAAAATTGGATAGTTATTTACAGACTAGAGGCCCAGTGCACGAATTCGTGCACAGGTGGGGTCCCTCGGCCTAGCCGGCGATTGAAGCCAATCGGGCCGGCGGGCTGGGGGGAGAGACTGCGGGAGGTTGCCCGGCCGTGGGAG